TCCCATACAACCCATAATCTGACCTCTGAGTAAAACTACCATCGACCCTGTCACAGCACAGACACAACACCCTAACCTGCTGTGGGTAAAGCATGGGGGACCACAGCAGCCAACATACTGCTTCTGTCAAAGTTTGCTAACATGCATTCAAGAGATCCCAGGTGAGGGCCACCCCTTCTCCCACCCTGCTACGGGGGAAAGCAAAAACCCTTATAGCCCATGGGGTAAAATTCCTTCCTGACCCCAAATATAGTGTTAGTTTGACCCAGAGTGGAGGGGCAAGACTATCTGGCTAGGAGCCTCCAGCATTAAGTCCCAGCAGGAGCATTGGCACTAGCAAACTGGCATCTCCTTCCACACTGGTCTTAGCTGGGAGAAATGAATGGACTTGCTAGGAGTCTGGACTCTGATCAGGTTTGCTAATTTAGGGACACAGTACATACTTAACTCAAAATGCATTTTAAACTAAGAAAAATGTGGCCATTTGTCATGGGCAAAGCCCAAGCTGGAATGATGTAGTTGGGGGTGGCCCTGCTTTGAGCAGGGACTAGGTGACCTTTCCAACCCACGCTTTCTACAAATTTTCTTTCAAAATCTGATCTTTCCAGGATTGTTAAATATCCATCCCCAGATGCATCGCTCCAGCATCCCTGCTGCTATTGGTTGGAAGGAACCCTGCCAGACGTTGCATTTTGGGGTGGTTTTGCTACACTGGAAACTTCCAGAAGTTTTTTGCAGAGGGGAGGAGAGAATGAGGATTTGCAGCGTGCAGGGGCATGCTATAGAGCATGTGGCGAGCTGTCGCTTCCAGAGTAAGACGATACAGAAAGGTGACCTGACCCAGACAGACGGGAGACATCCCAGTGTTAATAAATCACACGTGGAATTGAACGTGGAGTGCTGCTGTCAGGATTGGACGTATTTATGAGCTACACGGATGCATCTCGCTGCTTTGGCTATTTTTAGCCGCATGTGAAAAAGCATCAAGCCTGTGCAGCAGCTGAGGTCAGCAGCGTGCCCGTGTTAGTAGATCGAGGGCGTTTGTTCTGGATCTCGATTTTTTTTTTTTTTTCCCCCTCCATCTTTGCTTGCCAGGACCAGAGTTGGTTGCTGTTCCCCAGGAGGCCACCTCTTGTTCCAGGCTTTCACCGGAGGGAGGCGGATGATTATGAGCGACCGATTAACGATGGCTGAATTGCTCGGGGGCGACAGTGGTCAGCACAACGCATCTGCTGTTGTTTAGCTCTCAAAGGCTTTTTATAGAAAGGCCAAAAAAAAAAAGAAAAGGTCATGTACCTGAGATCAGAATGATGCAGATTTGTTGCAATAAAAACAACCCATAAGGGCCCTAGATTGGGGAGGAAGATCTGTATGTAGTGCAAGAGGCCCATTCATCTCATACAGTTTAGCAGCCAGTCACATGGAGACAAACTGCTTAAACATGGCTTTGCATTTTGGGGAAACCAGGAAGCACTGAGGGGGGCCGGGGAAGGAGGATTTTCTATTAACCGGGACTCGGGCACGGAGAGTGTTAGGGCTGCTAATTGGTGAAGGGGGGGTCCTGACTTGCTTTGCTTGCACGTGCCGTGCAAAATCTTTCTGCATTTCACCCCAGCTCTGTGCAGGATGAAAGACAATAAAAAAAACCCTGCCCCGCTGAGCTTCCTTATAGTTTTCCAGGGTAAAGACTTCGAGCTCCGTGTTCGTTTGCGCCGCAGCCAGCCTGCACTGCTGTGGCAGTGGGTGCGAGTATAATTTATCCTTTCTTTAACCACCCACTCATTGTGCCAGAGCTGCTTAAAGTGGCCTGATTAGAAATGAGAATCGGCCCCTCAAGCTTCTTGCTGTTTCTTTCTCTTCTGATGAAGAATGACACAGTTAGATGTACCAGCCTTTAACCAAGCCCTGAAGCATTTTGGTCATTACACTAATTCACCATGATGCCTGGGGGACCTGTTGCAAATACAGCGAACAGAGAATAAACAAGCAAGGCTGATGTTTCACAACAGGTACTCCATTCTTTTACTTTGATAATTACACCATCGTTTTTAATTACTCACAGTACTTTCTAGTCGGGCTTACGCTGCACTATTCCTGCAGCCCAGTACATGTGCAGGCGCTTAACAGGCCGGTGGAAAGGCTGGGGCCCATCTCAGCCTGAGCTGGGTAAATATGTGACAGGTACAAAATAATGATTTTGTAAAAATTATGGTCTCAGCCAGGTGCCCTGGTACTGGATCAAGTGACCAGGGAGGAGACAGCCCCGTTTTTGTTTGCAAATTGTGCAGGTTGGCAATTAGCAAAGCATGACCGTCTCAAACAAACCACAGTAATTGGCTGAACAGAAGGTGGATACAGCGTGGCGTGTTGATTAAGAGCATTTCCTTTCTCTAGTTTTCGGAGAAAGTCTTTTTAATAAATCGTTCCTCTGCGGAGGCCTGTAAGAACGAGCCTAGATTGCCTTTTATCAGCCCATAATGTGCTTTCATCACCCAGGAGAAATATGTGATATTGAGTTGGTCCCGAGAGGATGCTGTGGAGACATCGTTACTGACTCCAGAGTTAAGGCCGCATTGAGCTTCACAGGCAAAATGGATCTTAAATTCCCTTGTTAGGGATGAAACTACACATATACTATCACCGAGCTTATGCTGTTTACTTTTGACACGGGGAATTATTTTTCTGTAAAGTTAGGAGGAAATTGGTTCAGTAACGTAGGAGTTAAGCTAGC